CCCCCCAGCTCAAAATACGTTCCTGCGGCTATGGATGGACATATATCTCTTGAAGCGTTGACAACTGGTGTGTTTGTGTGTGTTGTAGCTGGAGGAGGTGGTGCTGGACTACATCCCAAACCCACAGCTGGAGTTGGCCATTGTCATGCTGATCGTGCCTTTCATTGTCAACGTGAGTCATTCAAGATTAATGCATGAAATCTATCTATCTGTCTGTCTGTCAGTCTATCTGTCTGTCTGTCTGTCATCTGTCTGTCTGTCTGTCTGTCTGTCAATCTATCATCTGTCTATCTGTCTATCAATCTATCCTCTATCTATCTGTCTGTCTATCAATCTATCATCTATCTATCTGTCTATCTATCTGTCTGTCTGTCTGTCTGTCTATCAATCTATCATCTATCTATCTGTCTATCTATCTGTCTGTCTGTCTGTCTGTCTGTCATCTGTCTATCAATCTATCAATCTATCATCTATCTATCTGTCTATCTGTCTGTCTGTCTGTCTGTCTGTCTATCAATCTTTCTTTATGTACTGTAATGCAACTTATTTCTGTAAATATTTGTGTTTCAGTCTATAATGTTCTGGGTGGTGGACAGTTTAACAATGCGGAAATATAAGAAAAGGACGTCTCTGGAGGGCTCACGTGACTGTCCTAAGCAAGTAGAGGTGTTGCCAAATGAGAGCAATGACGAAGCTGAGGTGAGAATATTCATGTAATGTCCCAATAAATGCACATTTCACATTGCTGTTTTGACCAAGATTGTAATGTTTATTGTTATATGGTGTATCACACTATCAAGCAGTAAAATGTAACCAAAGCACATTATTTGTAGTCTTTATCCATTTTTAAGCCATTTTTAAAAGGATGTTGCCAGTGTGGTGTAGTTTAGTGTGTGTGCTTATCAGTGTTGGGGAAAGTTACTTTTAAAAGTAATGCATTACAATATTGCGTTACTCCCTACAAAAGTAACTAATTACGTTACTTAGTTACTTTTTATGGAAAGTAATGCGTTATGTTACTTTTGAGTTACTTTTTAAATCTGGGCAGGGCTTGCTTGCTTGTTTTTAATATAAAAAAGTTCTTCTTTTACAAATGTAAAAGCCCTTTTCACAACAAAAGTGAAATGAATACGCCTCAGGCTGAAGGAAATGCAAATTCACGTCTGTACAGTAGAGGTCGCAGCTCAAACAAGTTGCATGAAGAATATGATGCAGGAGAAGAAAGTTCAACACTATTCAGCAATAACAAAAATGAAACACAAATGTGTCATTTTTGCTTATTAGTATGGTTGAATTAGATCATCGAAGGTCAGTAGCAAAGACATTGGTTAATAAAATGGGATTAAATACATTAATGATATTTGTCTTGTTTAACATATTTAATTATTGCAGGTTTATATAATATTCTGAGTTTGCATTTGACTGTTTTTATTAATTTTGAGGAATAGCCTACTGAATCTGTTTTTGTGGAGTAAGAAGAGTAAATAATGTTCATATTTAGTCTAGAACTACAGTAACATCACAGCGCACACAACGCCTCTGCACTTAATCCCGATTTCTCTCAACATGGCAACACGAGAGCTGTCAGTCAATACATGGGAAACAAAGTAACTAGCATTACTTATTTGAAAAAGTAACTCAAATATTTCCTTCTAAATTAAAAAGTAATGCGTTACTTTACTAGTTACTTGGAAAAAGGAATCTGATTACGTAACTTGCGTTACTTGTAATGTGTTACCCCCAACACTGGTGCTTATAGTATAGCTCAGTAATTGCTACTTGACTAATTACTATTTGCCATTTACAGTAGCTGATGCTTTTGACTTACAGTTCACTTTATATACAGAGACAAGTCCTTGTGTAACCTGGGTTAAAGTAGCTCGCAGTAGTGTGCTGTAAAAAATATTTTGTGACAAAATTTACTTTTACAAATTTGATTAATGTTGAAAATGTTCTTTAATATGACAGCCTGTACATTTTGTCTGTAAGTTATTTTAATGGTCAGGTAGCAGTACAGTAGTTCTTTAAGGTAACAAAAATGCCCATTCTCATGTTTTACTCATGGGTCACTTCTTGCAGGATTTTGAAGTGAAGCGTGTCATTTCTGTGGCACCAAAGAGAATTGCAAAAGCTTTCATCATTTCATCATGTGCAATCCCTAGGATGGTCTTTATCCTGCTGTGTTTATCAAATCAGTGTTGAGATCCAGGAACAAATGAGTCAGTAAAAATTCCTTAACCTGATCCTAATGACCCTGTTCCCCATATCTGTCCCTGTGGACATTTCATCCTAGTTTGGATTACTTCAGTGGTCCTCAGCTGGTTAGTCTCAGGCCTGTAGAATAAAGTAGGAAAAAACAAAGCTAATGCAAATAATAAAATGCAGTTAAGCATATAATTGTGTATAGTTAGAATGCCATGTATTTACCACATTTTACAATGGAGGAGTGGCACATTTTATGCTATTGATCTAAAAAAAAACATGTGAGAATTATCCAAATGAGACAGACCAGTGTTGGGCTAGTTACTCAAAGAATGTAATATATTACTCATTACTAGTTACTCCTTTCAAAAGTAATATTGTTACTTATTACTTTCTGGCAACAGTAATTAGTTACACTACTAGTTACATTACTTTTTCTTCACGCCCCACAGAAGTTGTAACTGTGAATCTTCCACATAAAATTCTTCTTAACTAAGTTACTAGTAACTAGTTACTGCCCAACACTGCAGAAGACAGATGTGTAACTTGACAATTGACAGAAACCTCATCCTCAAAAATCATAAAAAATACACAAAACAAAATTAAATTTGACCTAGACTTTCTAGGTCAAAATACACATTAGAATGATCAGACAGACAGACTAAAATGTGTTTTCTGTGTTGAACTCAAGAGCTGTCAAGAGCATGAAACTATCAACATTCAGCATTATTTTGCCTATTCAGCCTATGTTACATTGATCATTTTCCATATTATTGGGCTTATGCAGTTTATGGTATAATATTAATCAATTAAAATGTTTGATTTTACAGACAGCCACTTGATGTCCAGTGTAAAATCTGGGTCCTGAAGCAAAACTATTTAAAAACCACTGGACCAGTTTAATTTTTATTAGCTTGGCTTTACTCTTGCATATGATTTAAAATGAAATCTGCCAGCTGAAATGAATGTTTTGTTTCTGAATAGTTTGATTGTGTGTTTGTGTATTGCATTCTTCTTCTTGAATGGTGGGATTGTGCTATATGAATGTGATTACAGGACAGATATTTTGTTTATATCTTCGTCATTTGACCAAAGACCTTTCCAAAGGCCAGTGACCTGTAGGGTCAAATGGTTTCCATTTGTTGGGCAATACAGGGTCTTTACCATCTCTTTTACTTTGTGTTCTTCTTCTCCTCTTTCATTTTTTCTCATCCCTGCCAGCTGCTCACAAATCATCCATTTGTTCAGCGGGAGCAGTGACATTTGGAAAATGTTTCCATAAGCTCATGCTATAGAGAATGAATCCAAATCTGTTTGATGAGTGCCGATATGAACGAGAACATATAAAACTGGTCTAGTGTCAATCTCCTGCTGAACCCATGCATCTGGGCTTGTGGTGTTATAGTCAGTAGATTTATGCAACTATAAAGTGATCCAGCTCACATGAACGGGAAAACGATCATGTGTAAAATTAGGCCAGGCTCTTCAGCTGACCTCAAACTGTGTTTATATGTTTGTGTAGGTGCTGCTAAAGGAAGATGAAGATGATGCTACAGTGTGTTCTGAACGGGAAGAGCACGTCTCAACAGAAGAGGCGTTAATACAAGTCTGAATGGAAGTTTAGAACGCACGCATTTAGAAGTATACTTTCTTAAACGCTAGATCTCTGTTCCTAAACCTAGTGAGCGGCCTTGTTGTTTACTTCCTGCATAGGCAGATACCTTCCAAATGGAAATGGAAACTCATAAGTGACTGATTTGGAACACTCTAATTAAGTATAAACTTTGCAACACACACGTTATCTTCACACTGGAGACTGGACTCCGTCGATACCAAGAGAGTGTGACGTTAGCATTTGCTAAGCTAACAACACAATGCTCAATACTTGACACGATACTATGTAAAAGTGTCCATTTTTAGATTGATAGATACTTTTTAGTATTGAATGAAATTGTAATTTGTATGCTAGTGTGGTTTGGAACAGTCTTCTTGTTGGGAGAGTGCCAATGATGCTTAAAATAGAGCTTTTCATGGGAGTACACTTTAGAGAGTAGACTTACAATTGATTTCAATTGAGGGGTGTTTACACAGCACCATTTTCAACTAAAAACTGAAAACTTTTTATGCATTTTTACCAGTTACGTACACCACAACAGCATTTTGGGGGGGTCTGAAACTACAAACTTTTCAAAATGTGTTTCAAAGTGCAATTTAAAAAAAAAACAGTACTGTTATCATCTCATGTAAACTATAAAAACAAGAATTTGTGATGAAGATGGTGATGACATGTGCATGCGTATTATGTTCACGTAGAGTGTTTTTAGTCGTTTTTGTGGATGTGTGTGAACGGGGATTGTTTTGTCATCATTTGTGATCATAAAGATATGTTCACAAAACATTGTGATAAGAGTTGTTAAAGGGGAAAATGCTGTCTATGTGCGTAGCTCACTAGATTTTGGAGCAGCTGGAAGGTTGACAACTTTTTAAGCAGATAATGCGATTTGACGTGCTATACTTCTTGCAAAACTGCTTTTTGATCATTCTTTTATATTATAACATTTTATTGTTATGCATGCAACTTATATTAAATGTGTGCTCATTTTAATTGAGATACTACATGGAATATTTGCATTTTTAAATATTCATATCAGGCTATTAGAATTTGTGAATCAAAAATGTGATTAAAATGGTCACCATTTGACAAGTTACAGCATATAAGTTATATATTTTGCTAAACTTTAACCTAAAATCTTGATATTGAAAAAAAAAAAATAGTTCAGGTCCATGTTATTTGTCAGAACGAGAAAGCGAGTTGAATTGTAGCAGTGCATTTTTATGAATTACTTTCAAATTACATTGTAGGATGATTGTATATATGTTTGTATGTTAATGTATAATCAGTATGGAATATTTGCATTTTTAAATATTCATATCAGGCTATTAGAATTAATCACAAAAATGTGATTAAAATGGTCACCATTTGACAAGTTACAGCATATAAGTTATATATTTTGCTAAACTTTAACCTAAAATCTTGATATTGAAAAAAAAAAAATAGTTCAGGTCCATGTTATTTGTCAGAACGAGAAAGCGAGTTGAATTGTAGCAGTGCATTTTTATGAATTACTTTCAAATTACATTGTAGGATGATTGTATATATGTTTGTATGTTAATGTATAATCAGTATAGGATAATTATTAGCATACGAGTTATTAAAGGGAAACATTATCCTCCCTCCATGTCCTTTAGAGTTCATACTTCTAAGAAGTTAATTAAAAGTATAGAAACAGAGAGAGGGATGAGAGAGGAGGTCTAGTGTTTTTCCTAATTACAGACAGTCAGACTTTTCATTTGAAGTCTAAACAGCTCATGTCGCTACTTGTGATGAACACCTCGCTGTAAACACACTACAACCATGTTTCCAGCTCTGACACAGGCTAGACTATTTCTATATGAAAGATATGCTCATAAGAAAAAAACGTTTTCTTATAAAACCATTTGTGAATATTCAGTATTAAGTGAACGACCAGATGATCTTTGTATTTGAACCTGTAAAGTTTAAACATTGTACAGTATTCTGGGCTTCTTTTTTTTTCTTTTTTTTTTTTTACACATGCAGCGTGCTGAATAACAGTTTGATCAAATGTGTAATGTAGAAAATGTACAACATGTTGTAAAGTAACTGTAAACTTGGGAATTTTTAAGCTGTTAAATTGTATTGATTTCTTCAACATTTTAGCAATGTCAGCACACAAATGCAACTTCTTTAAAACTAAGAAACATCTTTTGATATGTGTCAAACAATGTTGTCTTGGTGCCTTATTTTGATGTAAACAAATAAAACTACAGTTCTAGTAACTTAAACTTAAGTTTTGATGTGCTATAAAAATACTGCTTGTAATAAAAAGTCCAATCTAGAACAAAATTTCTAGCCAAAAGATGTCAATTAAAATGAGATAAATAATTTTTAGGAAGATTTGTGTTCTTAATGGGTTCTTTGTTTATGTACTAATTGTTTTATACAAATTAATTAAATTAAACTTAATTTGAACCATAGAGTCAATGATTGGTGAATTTGAGGTTAGACAATCTTTTATGTATTTGTGTGTGTGTGTACTCACATTTTTTCATTACCAGTAAGTAGGGTCACGTCTCAAGAGCTTATAAAGTATATTTATAACCACAGCCAACAAAAGTCCTGTCTGACAAAGGGGGTCTAAGGTTAGCAAACATAGGTAAGAACACCTGCAGGGTCTGATGACAGGGGTGAAACAGGTCACACTCAACCAGACATTAATCAAGTCACTTAAGAGTTGCTGCCTTTCTCAGCTGTTTTGGACGATATAACATCGTCTTGTGGTTTGTTTGTTTAACTTTAACATTTTTTTCCTCCTTGCTAGAGTGCAGTAATCACCCACGTTTTAAGTAGCCATGGTTGTGAAAGTGTTTTCCCAATTAATTTTATCTGTATAGGCAACAGTACATTTTAAGTAATTGTGTATTTGAAAAATACATAGATATGTTTTTTAAACAAAACAGTAACATTATTCTTAAGTCATACTAATACTAATACTGTAATGACTGCTAGTTGACAATGCCTTATATTACAATGCCTTATGTAGTTGCAAAGATACTTCTCAGCAGATGTCTAAAGGGTACCATCAGAATAATCAAACTGATCGGCCTATTATAAAAAAATATCGTTCAAAGCAAATGTGTCATATTACACATTCATGATCTCCAATATCTGATCTTATGGCTGTAAAAATAAATACATAAATAGTTACTTTACTTAAATCAGATGAAGACCCGTTATAAATAATATGACCACATCACAGATTCTGTGCCACCAGATTCTGTATGTGTTATAAATCATCATACTCTTAAAAGCCATATAACCACAAATAAGTAAGTATTATAATGTATTAAAACTGTTGTTATGATTATTGAGATGATACAACATATTATAGATTTGTTGTTGTTTTATCATTTATTTTTATCATTATGCATTTATTGCAATGTCTTATGAATACTCTTGTAATGTATCATAAATATGGGCCTCATAGAAAGTGTTAAAAAACACTTTTAGGAATTTATTGTTGAACTTATTATTTATCTTTCATAAACATCAGTAACATTAGTAAATCAAAAGTAAGGATGCACATTATCAAAATTCTGACTGATTCGATAAGTCAATGATTATTTTAATGTTACCAATTTAAAATATTAAAATATCAGTGCTATTTTTAATATATTATTAACTAAGTAATTATTAAGGGTACTGTGACAATTCTTTTATCGCATTGATATCTATCTATCTATCTATCTATCTATCTATCTATCTATCTATCATCTGTCTGTCTGTCTGT